CCGCGCACACTCTAACGCCACGGGTTCGCAGTCGGTCCACCATGAACAGCGACGTGGTGGTCGACATGATCTACCAAACTTGCCCTTATCCGCTTCGCTAGATCACTACCATAGCTAGGGTCCTCCTCCGCTGGGGCTTCGACATTGAGGTCTGGCAGATGTCGTTGCACTCGCAGGCGCCGGCGCCGCCGTCGACGGACTGGGCGACGAGGGCCATCCCCGTCGCTGTCGCTGCTGTCATCCATCAACTCGGGGTCGATCTCCACACCGTGATCTATCATCAGGTTGTGGAGAATGCACACTGCGCGCAAAGTCTTCAAGTTCGATATGTGTGTGCGCATGAAATTCCTCCACACACTCTTCAAACGACCGAATGTCCGCTCAATGCAATTATTCGCTAACGTGTGGCACTTGTCGTATGTGTTGTCTGCGGATGTCCTTGCAAATCTGCCCATTGGAATCATAATCCACGGTAGAAGAGGGTAATCGGCATCACCCAGAAGATAACGCCCGACATGCCTCCCGTCGTGCAAAATCGCTCCGCCCTCACTCAACACTCCTTGTCCCAAAGTTGTGTTGCGGTATAATGGCGACAAACGCAACGCACGTGAATCGTGCACAGACCCTGGACAGCCAACGAACATGCTCAGAATCCTGCACTCATGGTCGCAGACCACCTGCACGACAACCGAGAAGTCGCCGGTGTGATGGTAGTAACACTCTGATCGCGTTCCCTTTGGCTTCTCTGTACACGTGGGTGCAGTCAATAGCCCCAACGCAACCAGCAAACCCTTTCGCCTCGAAAGCGTTTTGCACTTCCTCCAAACGCCGTCCTGTGGGGAAGCAAAGAAGATGGTCATACTCGTGGATCAAAGCATCAGCGACTTCTTCGTTGCTCCACAATGCACTGGCGAGCCCCATACCCAAAGCGTGGGATGATTGTCTGTAGTACCCGCCAATCGCCCACCTGATGAGGGCGCATGCAAACTTCTGCCCAGCAGGTAGTGGCAATCGGAAATTGGTGGGGGAGCGCTGGATATGAGGACCGATCCGAGCAAGGACTTCCAAAAACAAAGGCCGTGGAAGTCTGCAAAACCGCCTGAAGACCTTGTCGTGTTCCGGCCCCGTTCGTTGCAAGTCCCTCCAAACACCCCCGCTGCGGTCCACCACCCATAGCCGCCGTCTTCGAACAGTCATGTGTCTTTCCAGCTGCCGTGCCGCCAAATACGTCACAGCCATGCCGTGGATCACCCCCCCTGCCAGCATCGTCAGTGCCCTGGACACATCACGGAACATGAATTGGCATCACAGACACAGCTTCGAGGACAGCCATGGCCGCCGCATTGCGCCTGTTCACCCACTGCGTCACGGTCAGAATGAGAAAGAACAACATGTCCTCCCAATCCTCCCCCGAACCGGATACATGCTGAGGATCAATGGTTCGTTGCGGGAAAGGTGGGAGGATGGCGGGGGCTGGGGCACGCACTCACACACACAGACACACACACACACACACACACACACACGGGCACACGACGTCACCGCCACACATCGTCTTCCTTCGCGGCCTATGGTAACCTGGGGCACGTGCTTGCGGGATGTCCCGATTTGTGGCACTCCCCGGCGTCCCCGCCTTGGGTCCCTGGGGAGGAGGCAGACAAGCCCCGAACAGTTCTACAAATGTGGAATTTTTTCTGTTGTTGGAATTCAAATTCAAATACCGGAAGTCCCAACGGGCCGTTCTGGACGCCCGGGGACAGCTGAACGAAGTGCCCCGCCAC